CCAGCCTCCACCAGTTCTGAAAGGTTCCCAGACTCCCCACTTAACAACTAGGTGAGCCAAGGACTTTCCTTTATTGTCTAAGACCCAGATTTCCAACTTCACATTCCACAGCCTCTAGGGCTACTGACAAGGGTAGGTTGCAGGGGCCAGAGCCACCAACCTACCCCACTTTCCGCAGCATTATAGTGTCCCCTAGTGGTTGGTGACTCCACTGCAACTGGTGGAATGAAAAATCTTCCAGACCCATTTGCAAAGACTCCTTGGTGAAGAAAGTAGTTAGTGGTAATGAAAAACAGAAAAGCCAAACTCAATGCTATCAAAGTGATTCAGACTTATAGGAACCTGACAGGACAAAGTAGAACTGCCCTTTGGGGTTTCTGAGATTTTAAATCTTTATGGCAGCCTACAGTCTCAACTGTCTCCCCTGGAGTGGGCTGGTGGGTTTGAACTGCTGACCTAGCAGTTCTAACCCACTACACCACCAGGGGCCAGTCTCCACTGATAGAGGTCCTCTTCGTTTGTGTCCTCTGCTAAATGCATGAAGTCCCACGATTTCAAAGGGTTATGAGGGTTGTTGGCTTTCTGATTATGCATGGACCAAAGCCAGAAGCAGGCAATGTTGCCGGGACGTGAACTTGCTCAAATATCCTCCAGGTCTCACATGCCCAGGGTTGCAGGCCATTTTTGCAGCATCCAACAGAGGGCAGATCCCCAGGTCTGCCCAACTGTAAAAATCTGGATTTGTGGCCAGTCTGTGGTTCAGCTCCACCTGTCATGTAGCCGCCCGGAAGGTCTTTGGAACACCCAGAAGGATGAACTAACAGACCTTCCCACCTCCCTGGGGTCCACACTTTCCCATCTCCTGGCCTTTCCCATGGCCCAATCTTTCTCTCCCCCGGTCTCAGCTCCAACATCCCCACCCTTAAATGTCATTCTCTACACCACTGTCGCTTAATTCCCTTCCAGCTCTAAGCACGACCTGCACTATCATGCACCTCTCTTGCTGATCTATTGTCTTTCCCCCTCAATGAGCTTGCAGACTCATCGGGAAGAGCGGAGAGTAAGGCTGCCTTACCGACTGGTCTCTTCGGTCCTTGTCACTGTGTGAATCATGCTCATGGTAAGGAAGACATGGGCTCCTGGAGGAAACAGCGGTCTGCCCTCTCTAGAAAGAATATCCCCCAATTCTATCACTGATCATCTGTAATGCATAAATGGTCCATGCATGAAGTGTATATCTTTTATAGTGATGTGGTTACTTTAACATACTTTAGAAAATTGGAACCAGAACATCATCAAAGTAGGGTGTAGACCATTGTCTTTGTGGATTATGTTATGCCAGTGGACCTTGCTGTACCCTAAGACCATAGTCATGAGCCCCCAGGCTCTGTGATTCATTCCTTCAAGGTGGTTATGTCTAAAAAGTTTTTTTTATAACTTTGCTCCCTGTATGTGTGTTACTACACTCATGGATATATTTGTAGCATAGAGAAATACAAATGTAGATCTATGAGCCTAATTTATAGGTTTAGTATTAAGGTAGCAGAAGGACATTGGGCCTCCACTCAAGTACTCCCTCAACGCAGGAATACTTTCTTCTATTAAATTGGCATTCTATGATGCTCACCTTCCCGACACAACCGCTGAAGACAAAGCGGGTGAATAAGCAAATGTGGTGAAGAAAGCTGATGGTGCCCGGCTATCAAAAAATATAGCGTCTGGGGTCTTAAAAACTTGAAGGTAAACAAGCAGCCATCAAGCTCAGAAGCAACAAAGCCCACAGGAAAGAAGCACACCAGCCTATGCAACCACGAGGTGTTGAAGGGATCAGGTGTAAGGCATCATCAGAACAAAAAAATCTTACCATAGTGAATGATGGGGGGAGTGCGGAGTGGAGACCCAAAGCCCACTAGTAGGCCACTGGAGATCCCCTTGCAGAGGGGTCACGGGGAGGAGATGAGCCAGTCAGGGTGCGATGTAACAACAATGAGAAATACAACTTTCCTCTAATTCCTAAATGTTTCCTCTCCGCTCCCATGACTCGAATTTGACCTTGCAAGTCTGGCTAGACCAGAGGATGTACACTGGTACAGATAGGAACTGAAAATACAGGGAATCCAGGGCGGATGAGCCCTACAGGACCAGTGGTGTGAGTGGCGAAACAGGGAGGGTAAAGGGAGAGTGGGTAGGAAAGAGGGAACCGATTACAAGGGACTATATGTGACCTCCTCCCTGGGGGACAGACAACTGAAAAGTGGGTGAAGGGAGACGTAAAGTGGGTGAAGGGAGACGTCGGACAGGGCAAGATATGACAAAATACCAATTTATGAACTATCAAGGGCTCATGAGGGAGGGGGAAAATGAGGACCTAATGTCGGGGGTTTGAGTGGAGAGAAAAGAGAGAGAAATGCAAATGTAGAACTATTCAGTGTCAAACATACATATTCATGAATATACTTCCACGCCAGCTCAGCTTACGTGTCTACTCCTGGACCACTTATTGTAGGACTGCGTACACACTAGCACACATGCCTCTGTTTGACAGGGTTGCTGTGAGCCAGAATCGGTTTGATGGCAGTGAACTTGATGGACCTCTGTGACCATTCGGGTGTGTGTCCTGTTGGAGGAGCCCTGGTCGTGCAGTGAGGTTTCGGATTGGGCTGCTAACTACAAGGTCAGCAGTTTGAACCCACCAGCCACTTTGGGAGAAAGACGAGGTTTTCTGTTCTCATAAAGATTTACAGCCTTGGAAATCCACAGGACAGCCTTCCTCTGTCCTGAAGGGTCATTCTGTGTGGCTATCAACTTGATGGCTGTGAGTTTGGTGGGGATCCGGTTTGGAGGCATCTGGTAGTGCTATGGTTTAAGTATTGGACTGCTACCACGATATAAGCAATTCAAACGTACCAGTTGCTCCAGGAGAAAGACGAAGCTGTCTGCTGCTGTAACGACTCATAGTCCCGGTTCTTTATGCACTGGAACGGACTCAGTAGCAATGGAGGGTTTGGTTTCACTATCCTGTTTGGGGCTCACTGAGCTTCTTGAGTCCGTGTCTTTCCATCTTTCATGACATTAGAGGGAAGTTTCTTCTAGCAAATCTTCAACAGTTTTATCTATGTCGGCTTTGGTCTCTTCCATTTCTGTCATACTTATCACACGTAAGTGACAGTGTCCCACATACTTCCTAGGCTGTCTTCATCTTTTTTTCTTACTATCCTTTTGGCAGGTTTGGGTTGAGATTTATCTTCAATATCATGAATTCTGCCTTCCAAGGATTAAGTTCTATTCCCTTTGTCCTTTCAATGTACTTCTGTTTCTGCAAACCTAGTATTAATCCTCATGGGCTATTGTATGTTGTTTTTATGTGGTTCCTCAGTTTTCATTTATTTTGTTAGTTTGTTCTTTTAGTGTTCCCTTGAGTTCTTCTAATCCCTCCCACCACACACACACATTAGCTTAAGCTGTTGGAGGTACCTAAATATCACTCTTCGAGCCCCTTGTTAGGTAGGTTCAGTGTAGTGCCATTTCTCCCGTACACAGGGCTCAGTATTTTGGTCACTTGTTTAAGCTATTCTGTCTTGTTTCTTCATGTGACCTGAAACTGTCTGTTGTCTTTGAGACAATGTGCTGTTTGTGTTTCATTGGTGATTGTATGCTGGTGTGGTCTAGGGTGCTGCCCACTCATCTTCTGATGGATGGGATAGAGGCTGGGAGTGTGTATGCTGTTTTGTGTCAGCATGGCACGGTTGAGGACTTGTTGGGCAGGTGTTGGTAACCATCCATCACCGGTCAGGTGATGGAGGAATGGGTGGTGGGCCATGTGGAGTTGGTAGAGCTGCAGTAGGTCCTGGTGAAACTTGGCAGTGTGAGCCAGGGTGTTGTTTTCCACTAGGTGGGACAAGTAAAAAAAGAGAACAAGACAAACAACCACAGCAAACAAGGGAACAACCAGCACTGGAAAAAGGAAATTAATAACTCTAAAGGAAAGGAAAATAAAAGCAGAAGAGGAAAAGAAAAAAAAATCACAACGAAGAAAACTAAGAAAGGAAGGAGAAAAAAAGCCAAAATTGGAGTGAAGAAAGATAAAGGACAAAGGAAAGCTGAGAATGAAAGGGGATAAAAAAAATCCCCAAACACCAGGGAAATGTATGAAAAGAAACAAAAAGGATAACATTGGGAAGTGGGCAGTGCACAGAAAGGGGGTGGGTCAGGTAGGATGTCTAGTCTTAGACGCATTTCGGTCAGCCTAGCAGGTGTCTGGGGTTAGGGTGGCTGGTCCCAGACAGATTTCTGCCTGCTCAAGCGTGGTTGGGGGCGTGCCACCCATCTGGTGCTATACAACCCCCTGGTCTGAGTGGGTGGAGAGCACACACCTCCAGATGTGGGGGTGGTATACCCAGTGCCCTGATTCTTGAGGGCATGCCTCTGACTTCAGAGGTGTGTCTCCAGCCACTGGGTAGGTGAAGGCAGGGACTGGCCATTCTTCTGGTCCCGAGGAGAGAGGAGAACAGGGGAGGACCATACCTTTCTGGCTACCATGCATCGGTGTGGGTGACGGTGTTGACTTGGGAGAGTGGAGTTGATTATTCTTCAATTCAAGATGGTTGTTTTGTGTTGGACCAGCTGACAATGTACCCATTCTTTTGTCTCCTCCGTCACTCCTTTGGTTTAGCTACTTCTCCTAGTTGGCATTCAATCCACTTCTCTAGCCTTTCCTGTGAAGTACAGCGTTTCACGATGATCCTGTTAGCTGTTTCTTTTGGTCTCTTGTGCCTTTGCTGTTGAGAGCCCAAGGTAGCGTGTCTGCCTTGTCCACCAGTTTGCTGGAAGCCAGTCTTCACAGTGCTCCATGTGTGTCAGAGTAGACCTGTGCGCCATAGGATTTCAAATGGATGTGTTTTTTTGGAAGTAGACTGTGCAGGGGCAGTGAATAATTTTTTATTGTGGCTCTTGGGACCAAAGACTAACTCCCACCAAACGACCTTTCCTTGCATGGGTCTGGTAAGAAGGTGGGGGAAGATGCTAACAGGATTCCTTGGAATGCCATCCTGCTGTGTAGAAAATGAGCCCTCTGAGAAGCAGCAGGAGGGAATTCCATAGCCAGAAGTGGAGCTTATCCTCTGGACAGTGAACTTCCGGGATCCAGAAGACAGTTATACCATCAGAAGAGCAGCAGAACTAGGAACCAGAGCATCGACCAGAGCGATGGGCTTCCCAACCCATAGGGCAAGTGAAGCTGAGTGTTTTGGTGCAGTAGGGTGGCTCTGGGCACTTAATTGGGGGAGTTGGACCTGAGTGCCTTCGGGCTGAGGCTTACTGCAGTGGAATGCCTCTGGGCACTTCATTCAGGGAGCTGGGTCTGCTGATCATGGAATGGTATGCCCTCTGGGCATTTATTGGCCCAAACTTTGGAACATATCCTGATAAACAAGTCAACCCCTAGCATTTCTTACTGGCATTACAACTTGTTAACTTCCTTAATAAGCTTTTAAATATGGATTTGCCTGTGAGTCTGTGTAGCCATTGCAAAGGGATATTAAAACTCAAAGAAGTAAAAGAGAGCACATTAATTAAGACAGCTCACATCATAAGGCTTTTTCTTTGCTTTCGTATTTTCTAGAGGGGCAGCGAAGCATATTAACCTCAGGCACTACTCAGGAACCCTAGAGTAAAATTAATGACCCAGAAAATAAAAATTAGAGCCAACTAACCGGCTCTTTGGCTTCCAAAGTGAATGTCCTAAAGATTGAAACAGCGAGAGAAAAGGGGACGTGGAAGACAGAGTATTAATAGGAAATATGTGGTTTGCTGATACTGTTGAAGAAGAGACCAGAAATAAACTGGACAGAAACTATAGGCAAAGCTGTCAAGAAAGAGACATTTCCAGAGAGAGATGACTGTGAGCGGACTGAAAAGCCCAGTTTAGTCCTAACCAAATAAGTCGCACATATATGTCTGATTCCATCCACCACCTGCCTACACATACATGCATCAGGACAGACGCGTTGAGGCATGGGAGTGGTAATGCCTTGTGCTGCTCACCACAAGGTGAGCCGTTCAAAACCACCAACCGCTCTGCAGGAGAAAGATGAGGCTTTCTCCTCCTGTGAAGAGTTACAG